ACCATAAATAAACTCTTAGAATACCGTGAATAAGACAAAGCTTTCAAAGAAACCTCCCGCTAACACTGTATACATGCATTTTGTTGTGTTGTTATGTTTTCTTAATCAACCCTTAAAATGATTCTAAATTATTGAGATCCTTTAAAAATATAATCACTTGTTTTTCTATTACACAAAAGAATTATTATTCCATCATAAAATATATTTCCATAGCTTTCCAGTAACATCTATCACAATGTTATTTTCTTTAAGATATATTCACATATAATTTCCGGTTTCCTTTTCAGCCTTAAGTATTTACAAGCATTAATTGGTACAAAAATCAACTTTATTGTGGTGTAATGTACACACAATAAAATGCTCCCATTTTATTTATTTTTGGCAATTTTGTTTATTTTATATACTCCCATTTTATTTAATTTTGTATTCAAGGTCTCACAGCTTGCAGGATCTCAGTTCCCCAACCAGGGACTGAAGCCACACTCTGGCAATGAAAGTGTGGCGTCCTAACCACTGGACCACCAGGGACTTCTCAATGCTCCCATTCTATTAGTACATGTCCACGAGTTCTGACAAACGGATGTGCCTACCTAACAGCTGTGATTGGGTCTCTACAAGGAGACAGCTCTATCATCCCGCACAGCTAACTCGCACGCACACCTACATGGACCTGAGCCCTTGCACACAGCTCCACTGGCAGATGGTCACACAGTGTATCCTTAAGAACTTTCAATGCCCACATTCCATTTCAACAACTACAATCCTACGTGTGACAGTGTTCTTCTCAAGCCTAGTATCTGCTCACATAGAGCAACACGTTAAAAGGCCACAGATTTTTTGTTTTAAACCTCTTGGCCATGTTGTGTGGCATGTGGGATCTTATTCCCTGACCAGGGATCAAACCTATGCCCTCTGCAGTGGGAGCTCAGAGTCTGAACCACTGGGCCACCAGGGAAGTTCTTAAAGGCATAGGCTCTTGCATTTTAGATACCTGTACACAGTCACTCTCTCTCTCTCTCTCTCTCTCACCTTCTCTTACCCATCCTGTGACTTCTCCACCCGAAACTGTTCCAGTGGTTTCCCAAGGCTTCCAGAACCTTCTCCCACCTCACTGACTCCTCCCCATGGCCCTCCAGTTGCCTCTAGCAGCCCAAGTGTGTGGTTTGACCTGGGCAGAGGATTGTGGCGACTCCCTCTTGGATCTCCACTGAAATATTTGCTAAGTGCCCAGCCTCTGCCAGGCACTTAAACATGAGTGACACTCTGTACCTGGCCTCAATAAGGTCACATAATTCCATTAGTGCAGCCTAATTCACGAATTCAATGGTGTGTCACGCACATATTGAACCTGGAATGAATTAAAGTCTATATACATTGCAGTCAAGGCAGAGCAATTCCTTCCCCCTTAGGTCCAGAGCTCTACAAAGGCTCTTGTTTGCTTTTATTACTTTGGGTTTTCCCTTATTCCAATAACCAAAAAAAGAATTCTGGCAAGATGTGAATTATTGTTAATATTAATGCTTAATACTTCAGAGAAAATAAAAGTATTTGCTTCTTTCTTCTCACTGAAATTAAAAACAGCTTCTGAGTGAAGGGTGAGTTAATCTGTGTGGTTTTACCTATAGTGATAAATATATTACTTAAACAAAAACCAAACTGGCTTGTATTATTTCATGGTACCAGGCTATGTAACTGGTAAATGAGGGCATATGTTTTCTTAATCTTTTTTTCAAATTGCAGGCACTTCTCCGGGTAAAGTTCTATTTACCCCTCAATGCCAAGTGCAGACAGGACCACTCTGGTGAAGACTTCCAGGTTCCTAGACAGAAGGGAGGCACACCTCTGTCATCTCTCCTCTGCTCTCAGTTCATGGCCATAGCTCCCTGCGGAGTCACTCACTGGCCTTCTTTAGGGTGATCAACCATCCCCATTTGTTGGGGCCTCTCCTAGGTTTAGCATGAAACATTCCCAATCCTAAAAAAAAAAAAAAAAAAAAACCCAGTCTTGAGAAAATCAGAACTGGTCACTCTGCATGATAGCGAGTGACGGTTTAATAAAATAGCCATCATTTCTGAGATGCCAAAGCCAAGTACTTCACAAACATTACAGTATTTTTCTACTTTAAGACAACATTAAAAGTAGCTACCATCATCTCATTTTACAGAAAAAGAGAGGAGACTTAGAGAGGTAAGTACCTTGCCCAAGGTCACAGAGGCACCTGGATTTGAATCTAGGTTTGCCTTTGTCACACCCCACACTGTATTGGGTCTTAGGTGTTGTGGTTATCATTTTGTTGTCTGACGCTGTGACCCCACAGACTGTAGCCCACCAGGCTCCTCTGTCCGTTGAATTTCCCAGGCAAGAATACTGCAGTGGGTTGCCATTCCCTTCTCCAGGGGATCTTTTCCACCCAGGGACTGAACCTGTGTCTCCTTCACTGGCAGACAGGTTCTTTACTGCCAGGCTACCAGGGAAGCCCTTCATTGGGTCTTAGGACCTGGTGCTCATTCCACACAAGCAAGCTCTCAAAAAATATAGAATCAGTCTTCATCCTTCTACCACTCAGCATCAGTTAACATGCCAGTGATGGTCCTTGATAAAGCTATGAGGCATTTACAAGAAGGCTCATGTGATGGAAGGAACATATAAAAATACATGTACATATGCTGCTTTTAACTGGCTTTGATATAAGTGCCACTGGAGAACATACTGGAGATGTGAATGCCAACAAATTCAACATGCCTCCTCTCCTCACATAGATAACATGGAACCTTTTGTAACTTGACCACTTAAAACACTTGGCTGTGCCCAGAAGAGAAACTCCAACTGCTTGGCCAGACTCAACGGCTGTCTTCAGGTGGGACTTGCTGAACTAGCAGGACACAGCACAGAACACACTTCTCAGCAACACCAGGCTTCTCAGCAAGGATGCCGTCCCTAAAGGTCAGCTCGCTGGCACTGGAATGTGGGACACTTTACTGACTCCAATACCCTCCTGCCTGGCGGGGTTACGTTTTCGAATCTTAATACTCACTGAGTGCACTTCTCAAACGGTACTTTTTTTTTTTTTTAAACATTGCTTCGGCTGTAACTCTCATGACCACAAAGTATCCCCCATCTTTGGATTTCAGACTTCTCTTTCTTCCTCTAACACCAAATTCTCAGTCCAGGATCACAGTTTAGGAAGCAATCTCTCTAGTCCACTCCCAAATTAAAAGAAGTAAAACTACGTGAACCATTCCTATTTTAAAATGGAAGTTCTAGAGTGAGTTCTAGAGAGAACTCAGGAGAGTTCCAAGAATGGGAGGCCTCAGGGCCCCACCCCCAGTAAGCCCACCTCGAACTGTCATTGTATGGAGATGCTGGCCAGCTATCTCTCAAGGTCCTCCCAGGGGCCAGCATCCTGGGGGAGGGGTGGTCCTCCTCCCTGGGGATGGGAGGGGTGCCGTCTGGCTCCCCCATGAGGGGGAGAGGGAAACTGGGCGCCACATCCACGGTTAATCAGTTTACCTAAGATGTGTATTTGGTCCGATACCCCTAAGGACCTTCCAAGGCCACCCAGGGTCAGAGAATAATTTAAAAACCTTCAAAGCCTGGATCCTTCTTGGAGCCAGCCCAAGACTGGAAACCTGAGAGGGACAAAGCTTTCCTCTTCAAAGTGAGAACAAATGCGAAAGGATTTAGCACTTAGTAGGCAGTCAATAAATGTTAACTTTATTTCTCAAGTCTGGGCTCCCCCTCCCCCTCTAAAGCCAATTCCATCCAAACCCGATTCTGTCCCTTCCTGAAATTCCACAGCACCAAAGGACTTTAGAATTCTGAATTAGTGGTGCCACTTCCTTTTCCTCTCAGCACGGAAGCCCTTCCTGGGACTTCATTTTGTTCATCTGTAAATCAGGCCAAGGGGTACACGCATGCTGTCCTCCTCAGGTCTGACATTCAAAGGAACTATAACATTGTGCCGGTTACAATTATAACTTCTAACCCCAGCGCTAGGGACAGCAGGAGGCTGAACACGTGGATCTGCAGCACAGCCTCCACAGGTGGGCATCATAAAGAAGCACCTGTGTGCCAGGACTTCCTATGCCCGGCTTCCTGTGTGCCAGGATACCCACCTGGGGAGCGCTTCTAACGCAGCCCTGGGCACCTCGGTCTGGCCGAGCAGCCCAACGTCACAATACGCTCTGGCCCTGATATACATACGTCCCAGAGACACACCCCGGGCACTGACGCCAATTCAACCCATCTCCATTGCTGTGCTTAGGCGCTCAGTCCTGTCTGACTTTTTGCGACCCCATGGACTGTAGCCCGCCAGGCTCCTCTGTCCATGGGGATTCTCCAGGCAAGAATGCTGGAGTGGCTTGCCATGCCCTACTCCAGGGCATCTTCCCAACCCAGGGATCGAACCCAGGTCTTCCTCATTGCAGGCCACCAGGGACGCCCTCTCCATTGCTAGGGTCCCTCATTTGTTCCCGGTGTGAAATACCCAACAGGAAAATCTGCCGCCCAGAGGGATCCTCCAACTGAGCCGCCAAATGGGGGCCAGAAGACGTTGGGCCCAAGCCATGGAATGAGTTTCCTGCGGAGGTCTGAAAGGAGGTGGGAGCACAAAGCCGGGGGTCTCGGCTCTGTACACCCGGGGCCTCCCCAGTCACCCAAAATGGGCGCTGCCTGGGTGCCCGGCGGCCCAGACACATCCCACGCCTGGGGCCGCGCGGAGGGCTCCCTCAGCGCCCGCCACCCTGCAGTCGTCTCTCCGGCTCAGAGGAGGATGTAGAGGGCAGGCCCGATCTCACTGAACAGAATCTGGAGTTGTGACCTTCGCCGCCACCATCACCCTGGCCGCCCGGTTCGGCCTCCCAGTGTGCTTTCCTAGAAACTCACGCATCCCTTCTATCTTCTGCCCCCACCCCCACATATTTGTGAAAAACTAAATGCCCCAAACAGGGCTCGGGGCTGCCTGTTCCGGCCCCGGTACTCGCGCGGCATGCAGCACTCACCGAGATTGGGGTGTCGCGCGGCGGGGTTGGCTCGGCCGGGCAGGCTGTGCAGGACCGGGCTGTCGAAGGGTCCGGCGGAGGCGGCGGCGGCCGCGGCCCAGGACGCGCCCACGTCGGCCATGTAGGCGGGGTAGGGGCTGGAGTAGGAGCCCGCGAAGCCGGCTCGCCCGTACTGCTCGCGGCCCGCCAGGCCCGCGCCGGCAGCCCCGCCGCCACTGCTGTAGGCCGCGGCTTCCCGGGCCGCGGCGGCGGCGGCAGCGGCAGCCAGGGACCCGGTGGTGCCCGGGAAGGAGAAGCGCGGCGACACGGGCGGCGGGGTGTAGGCGGCGCCCTCGGCTCCCGCCTGGCTCCAGCCTGGGCTGCCCTGCTGCGTCCCGGGCCCCGCGCCCGACGGCGCGGCTCCCGAGCTGCCGCCCGAGGCGGCCCCGGAGGCCGCGCCCCCGCCTCCGCCCTGGAGGTAGGACAGGCCGAGCACCGAGGAGGGCACCCGCGGCGTGGGCACGTATACCGGCGAGGACGCGGCGCCCGCCCCGTGCATGAAGGCGCCCGGGCCGCCCGCCTCGTAGGGCCCGGGAGGGGGGCCGTGGTTGGCGGCCATGGCCAGGCTCTGGTACATCTCCCCCCGCGCGCTCGCAGCGTCCGAGTCCTCGGGCCGAGGAGCAATGCGGAGAGAGAAAACAGTAACACACAAATAAAAACCAAACAAACAAACAAAAAAAAAAAAAGAATAACGTACAGGGGAGGGGCTGTCAAAAAACCCGAAGATCAAAAATCAAAGGTCAAAAAAAAAATCCTTCAAAAATATATACATATTAAATCCAGCGTTGAGCAAAAAGACTCTGAGGTTCTGGTTTACTCAGGAAAATCCCAAACTGAATTTGTGGTTGTTCCCCGAGCTGGTGGAGTTGAGGGGTGGGGGGAGAGTCCACTCAGAAAGGTCCTAGAGGATCCGAAGGCGCGGGATGGCGCCCGGGCGCGGAGCTCCTGCAGGGTGACGCGGGCCGGCCGCTCGTCAGAACACCCCGGCCGGGGCACAGGGTGCGGTAGGCTGGCTCCAAGGCTGAGGGCCGGGCCGGCTCCCTTCCTCCGAGATGTAGCCGCGTCTGAAGAGGGAACGACAGAGGGAAGCAAGTTCATCCAGTGCTTTCAGGGCCCATTTCCCCTAAGCTTGGATGCGTCTCTCGCCCGACAAGCAAAATCGCCGCTCTCAGGGGCCCAGCTCCTCGGAAAGCTGACTGCAGAAGCCCGTGGGGCCTGACTGCTGAAAGGAAGCCTCAGGGAGGGGCGCGTTAGAGGCGGAGGGCTCTCCGGTTATTGGACGTGTAAATTACTGGTTGTGATCTCCATCAGCGTTTTTCTTTTCTGTATTGCTTGTCAGGAAGGACTTTAATTTTACCTTATTTCTAGCATATTCTTGTCACAGTATTTTAAAAGACCAAGGGTTTCCGGCTTCCACGAAGAGCCTAGAAATCTAAGAAATCTCTCCCCAACTCCTTTCTCCCCCCACCTACCCCCAAGTGATCCTGACTGTGAAAGAACTTTAGATTGCGCACGCAGGGAAGACACAAACTTTATAAAATAAAAAAACCCAGCAACCTAAGAAACTTTTGTTTGCAATCTTTTTTGTTTGTTTAGTTTTTTTTTTTTTTTTTGCTTTTAAACTAGAGGCAGATTCTAAATATTTATAAATGAACACAGCGTCTGGTAAATCTCAGTGAAAAGGTTTGCGAACTCTTATCTATACAACTATACAATGTGGACATCAAATTGGACAAGATACACGTTTCTTACAAATAGTTTTATTTTGGAGATTTTGCAGACTATATTAAGATGAGAAAAGTGAGAGAAATGTACAATCACTTTACAGAACTACAGAACTCACTGGATCTCCAATTCATTGAGTGGGTTTTTCATATGGAATCACAGGTCCACTCACGTATGGAATCAGAACACCAATGAGGCTGCTTGGGGGACAGAAACAGTTTGTAGGACTTGATTATTTCCTTGCATCCTGTGTTTGATTTCACCAGGCAATTTTTCTGATAAAAACTAAGCGTGCTACGTTCTGAAGCACCTGCTTGGTTCCAGGTCATTTTCTTCACAATTCCACTAAGTAGAAGTTTCTCTCCTCATTTTACAAAAGGCAGAACTGAAGCATCCAAAAGTTTTAAAACTCCTCTAAGATCAAAGTACAATTAAAAGGGGGCAGAGGACAAGATCTGAAGGACTCCAGAGTTTAAGTTTGTCCAGTCCATGCCCACTTTTCTCCTTAAGAAAACGCAGCTACTCTTAACAATGTTTTTTTTTAATTGCAATAGCAAACTTATAGAGTTATTAACTGAATTATGTACTAAATCCAGGCTCTGCCACTTACTGAATGAATGACTGTAGACACATTACTTAACCCCCAAGCTTCAGTTTCTTCATTTGCAAAAATTCAAATAGTAAAGGTAATTACCTTGTAGGGGCACTGTGAGCATTATAAATTCTATATACTCGGCTATTATTACTATTACAGATTTCTAATGTATCAAAAGAAAGTGCTTCCAATGTATTATGTACTATAATAAATGGTCATCTTTATTCTAGTAAAAAGTTTTGGAAGTGGAATTTCTAATATAATGCTTTTCATCACTTTTACATCACTAGTAATAATGGGATAGCACTGTATTATATAGTCATATGTTAACTCTTAAATGGTTTATTATTTGCTTTCAAAACTCCGATAAATTATTGGTTTGGTGAACATTTCCTTCCAATAAGAAGTTTAGTTAGAGGATGGATATTAAAAAATTTGACCTGAGATCATCAACTTTCCCCTTCAAAAATGAATTAAAAAAATTAGTACCTAAAGGAATACCTAGGCTTCAATAAGTAAATTACACAGGTTTACCTTAATAAAATATTCAGTATTTAATTTTAAAATCCAATAGTTGACCTATTTCATTGAATTTTCTGGAATACCCCCTCAGTTCTAAAACAAACATTATACATTTCGTTTCTCACATAGCTGCAGGAAAGGAAGATTTATAATTTTGTAATCCAACTTCCAATATACATACAGATGCTAACTTAACAAGCTTTAAAATGTAAACGCTGAAAATGCCATAAATCCAACATTTGTCTTTACTGCATTCTCTGCCTTTTTAAAATGGCTGATACGTTACCTAAGAGTTGGATTACTGAACAATAGAAGGTGGAGAAAATCCACCCTAGACCTTTCTGTTAAGACAAGAACTTAACTACTCCCTTTAAAAGAAAGTTGCTTGTTTCTGTAATTGAGACTCCGATGCAGGCCACCCGGAGAGGATACAGACAGAACTCCTGAGAATGGCAGAAAGGGTCTGGCCTCTGGAGATTGAGGCTTGTGCCCAGTTTTCCCTCTCCTCCAGATCACTCATCCCAGTTCACCCCCGATTCACAGGCCGGACAGGAATGCTTTTTTTCCTTACTGAGTTAGCGCACAGCCCTTTTCTGATAAATTTCTGCCAGCGGGGAGGATGGAGAGTGCCCTAACGTTCCCGTCCATTTACAGTCACTCCTGCTCCTTCGGTTCTGCTGGCGCCTTCACCCCGCGGCCTGCTGCCTAGAAAACTGTCACACCCGAGCGGACACACTAGCTGGCAATAATGAACCTGATCGCTGAGGGGGCACGCGGAGATCCAGAAGTGGGAGTGGGTGGGTGGGAATCACCCCGTCACTCCAATAAAAACTTTCTCTCTTTTAAAGCCTCTAACCTGCTCTAGGCTGCAGTTCCTTTTATGAGAAACACAGGAAATACTTCCCCGAGGCGCTTCCCCAACCTTCCCGGCAGCGCTGGCCCGGACTCCCACCAGCCCTGGGTCCCTCCCCATCCTCTGCGACCAACCCCAAGGCCCCTCATTCTCTCAGCCTGGGGGCAGCTCACCACCTGGGCATCCTCTGCTCCCCTAGGTGACCCCCCAGCCCAAAGTAAAGCGACAGAATTTCGTGGACGGGATGGCTAGCCCTGGCCAGTTGAGGGACATCACTGCTCTCTGCCGGGTTCCCGCCCTTCCCCACCCCCCCCACCCCACCCCACCTCACCTCACCCCAGCTGATCTCACGCAGAAGCACTGTGGGTGGGTGGGGTTGCTAGCTTCGTGAGGGGCGTTTAGTTCCCTGGACCCCGGATAGGAAGACTAGGAGGCATAAAAAGAGCGGGCGCTCAGCAGCCATTCCCGACCTCTGAGCGCCTCCCCGGGGCCCCGGGGCCCCGAGGCCCAGCTGCGCCGCCTCCCACCGCCACTCTGTCGCCCATGGGCGACAGTCCTCCGTCTGAGTCTCTTCGTGTTCGAGCCGCCGGGCGGCCGGTCCCGGATCAGTTGGTCAGGGTGATTTCTCACGGCCATCATCGCCACCAAGGCCCAGTCCTGCGAGGTGCAGACGGGGCTGGGAAATCCGCACGAGGGGCGGGGATTAAAAACGTCCAAGTTCACACAGAAAGAATCCAGAAGCCCTTAGATGATCCCTCTCCACTTTCCCCCTAAACTTCACTTAGTTTTAAAGAAACTGCTAAGCCAAAGGAGAGCCGGCTCTGGGCAAGGTTAAGGACCGGGGATGAACGACGTCTCCTTTCCACCCGCTAGTTACCTCTCTCTACTCCCAGGCAAGCCCGCGCGGAGGAGATCGGGGTTCCGCGACTAGGGAGAAAGAGCCGGGAGAGGGATGGGAAAAGCCGTACCTGCCCGGGCTCGAGCTTCCTGGAGGCCAGCGCGCGCTCCCCCGGGCGCCGCGGCAGCTTAGGCGGCGGCAGAGCTCCCGCAGCCTCCCTGACGGCCGCCGCGGAGTCCCCCGGCTCGCGGCGCGGAGCCCCTGGCCCCTGCGCTCCCGCTCGCCGGCGTTGACTGGCCCGCGGGAGTCACGTGCAAGGGAAGGGGGCGGGGGGTGCGCCGAGGCGGCTGCACCGCCACCGGGCGCCGGGCTGCGGGGCTGTTCAAAAAACTCCCCCAGCAGGCAAAGTCCAGGCGCTGGGATCTCCTCGAAAAACGCCAAAGTGCTTCCGCCGGGGCGCCGGGCTTCACCCCACCGCCCTGCCTGAGGTCGATTTGGTTTTGCGGTTTTGCCCTGGGTCAGCTTTATTAATGAGACCTCCCCTGCCTTCCACCTCGTCCCTCCTCCCCACGCCTCCTGGTGGTCGGGTTCCAGCCGAAGCTAGGGACGCGGTGGGCGAGGGGCGGGGCTGATAAGGGGAAGGTGACCTCTTGGGAGCGACCCCGGCTCGGGTGTGGGGCACTAGGTCACCGGGGAGTGCCCCAGCTGGCTGCAAGGCTCTTGGTGATAGTGGGTAGTGGGGATCCTCGTAGTCCAAGATCCCGGGTAGGTGGAAGAGACACCAGACTTGGATGGTCCTCAATCGGAGCGCGGAGACCTAACCCGCCCTCCCTTTCACCTTCGCAGTAGCCCAGGGAGTCCGTGAGGCTCCTGCCTACAGTTTTGTGTTTATGCAAAAAGTCCACGCTTTCATGGCGAAGCTCCCAGCCCCTGCGGCCTCCTGCCTTCAGATCTTTCCGTTTTCTCTGCAGCCTGCGGCGGCGCCGCACTAATCTAAGAGACTTAGCAGGGGCTCGGGGAGCTCGGCCATCCAGCGGGGCTTCG